GTCTTACAATTGTCCTAGTTTGAAAGTGGTTTGCAAGAAGCACAACTGGTTGACAAATTTGGCCTACTAACTTCTTCATTATTTCGTTCAAAGTATTCAGTTGTTTGGCCATGTTGTCATAATGTGCATTCCCATTCTGGGTAAATCTTTCCATATTATGAATATTTCGTAGATTTACCTGTTCGAAGACATCTTGAGTGAGTTCTCCAAGTAATGCACTTATGGTTCGAGAACTCAACTCTGTCATTGGTTCGTAACGACTGTGATTGCTTTGATCATGTCCATCTGTTCGTGGAGAGCTATGCTGCTCCTCATATCGCTCAATTACAGACTGGACTCCTCCCTGGCTTGCTGCTTCCTTATCGGATTTCTGAGGCATATTGTTTCACCTTTTGTATCTTCAACACCAAACACCAATGTCCCACTGGGCATGCCAAATTGTTTCGCGCGGGTATTCGCTAACAATTAAAAAGGGATCAGACGATTGTGTAAGGAACAAACCTCTAGAGACAAAGTCCCAAAAAGGGGTGTTTTATTGACGATGACTTTACAATTGGAATTTAAACAGAATGCCTCAAAGAGGTGCAAGTACACGAGTACTGAAAGAAATGTTTAAATCTAAACTAAGAAATTGAAATTATATATTCTCTGTTTGAGAGTGTTTGATTCGGGGTCCTTCTGCTCTATGTCTTTTCTTCCTTTTATATTCCTTTGATGATCTCTTCGTGATTAACCGCTTAATTGCTTTATAACTGTCCACTTTTTTCATGGTGGCCAACTTATCGTGGAACTGTCGTCTCTAACTGCTGCCACTACTCTTTGTCGTTCAACCGTTTTCAACTGAACATCCTTGAATCGTGAAACGTGATAAGATTACTTAATAACTGCTTCAATAACTGCACTTTTTGATAACCATATCATTTTATGTTTGCTAAGATCTTGGGCGATTCGAAGGTTTGGACGAGAATAGAGTCATAACTCTGGACGACTGCAAGGCACTTCATTCGCTCAGATTTTGGGCGTCTTGCAAGTTTGGGCGATGGTATTACTGTGTTCGTGGACTTTCACTGCATTCATTGATAACCCTATTCGGCCCTTTATCCTGAATTGCCCAGTTGGACTTCATTCTTTGGGTTATTCGATTTGGGCTGCACTTTTAGCGTGCCAACACTTTCATTTGGGAGAAAGCAAGCAAACCATTTGCAAAAGTAAATTATTTTTCACGTTTTCTCGTAATTTTTTCTTACATTTTGATTGCACATCTTCAAAATAAATAAATAAAATAAACTTACATTTTGATTGCACATCTTCAAAATAAAATAAATAAATAAATAAATAAAATAAAATAAACACACACACACACATTTTAAATAATAGCTTTTACACAAACACTGTAAAAATAGAAAAATTAAAATATAGAATAGGTTTACCGTTTACGACAATGATTCAAGTTAGTTAATTTAGTAAAACCCATTTTAACAAGAATATATATATTTTTTATATTTTGCATTTCCTTGAGTAAGACCCGTAAAATTTATAAATAATGTTGTAATTTCATACTTGGCCTCACATGTTTAACTTTATAGAGTTTAATTTTGTTTCCACGTAAGAATTAAGTCCATGTTAGGTTTAGCTAACAATCATTATTTTGGAATATTTTGATAAAAATTAGTAAAATGTGAAATTCGAAAAGTTCATAAAATTTGTGTAAGTCCAAGAAAGGTTAGGTTAAAAATGAATATAAGAAAATTTGACATTTATAAATGGGGTCTAATAAGGGCTTAATTTAACAAAAATCTGATTGTGGATGACTAACTTGCACATTTTAAAGATTAAGGACCAGCTTACTATTCGAACAAGTTTTTTCCCCCTTTCTAAAAGTTTTAAAGTATGACCTGTATTCATTTCAAAAATTATCAAAAAACTACATTTAGTGCCTTTTAATTTTTGAACTAAAGTGAATATGTGAGAGAGAGAGATTTTGTTTGGTACATCACACAACTTTAAAAGCATGTTTTGTTTAAACTACATAATACTAAATAATATTAAGCCCCCGTTTGTTTTCCATTTTTTCCTCATTAAAATGAAAAATATGATCATTATCCATCACATCAAACCATCAAATTTGAATTTCTATCTCTTGTGTGGGACCCATAACGACTATATTTTTCATTATCATTCTTACAAAAATGGGAAAAACGAACCATAATGTTACCAGAATACAAGCCACAACAGATTGCTGGAATCAACTTCCCGACAGCAGAAGACATGTTCTGTTTGGTCGTGCTTTAAGTCGATAATACTCTGGCCACGGAGACTAAAAACCAGTAGAATAAGCACATGATATTGTAATTGGTTCCCATCCTTTAAGAGGTTGGGAATACGAATGTAAATAATCCAAACGGAATTCTTGGTATGGCTTGTAATTCATGCGAACATTATGATGTGTTTCCATGATTGCACGAGGAAAATACTAGTCACTGGTGCTGGTATTCTCGTTTTAGATTGTATCTTTACATAGATTCCTATTAGAACACCTCGGCCAGAGGCATCTCTGGGACTGGAATGAACTCCTCGAACGCAGCAAGGGGCCAACTGAAAGACATCTGACATCATGACAAATGGAAAGAGAAAAATATGAAGAATTTTAAGGCAAATTTGTAACGGTAAAATTAACTGGGAAACTACAATATCTCAATTGACAAATCACCTGAATTATAAATGTAGTTCCTATGGTTCCAATCACGATGCAGTTTTTGGTCACACCTGTAAAGACATTTATTTCATCTGGTTTTCGAGCATTGAACTCATTGAATATCTGAAAAGTTGATAGACAACTTTGCCAATTTGTTCAACCATTGCTACTTACAAATGGAAATAAGGACTCAACTTTTTGCATCAAGAATGTGAAATACCTAGTGAGTTGGCTCGATGAAAGGATGATTAGCCCTTTGCAGCAGTTCAAACATGCTACATTGAAACATATAATTGCTAGCAACATTTGAGAGAACCATAGCAGGAAGCTGCTTTGCATCAACAACAAATATCCAAATAAATTACACTCATTGTTCATCAAACACTCAACAAAACACGTACCATGATGCATTTTGTTCCTTTCAAGTTCGGAAGATGAAGAATGAAGAGGAATGACAGTGGAAAAAGCAAGACAAGAAAGATATGCCATGATTGAAGATTGAAACCGGCGAAAAAAAACGAAACAGAGAAAAAAGCAAGAAAAATGATATTAATATTTGAGCGGTTTCATCAATCAGAACAGCATCAAAGAGTGTGTTCTCGGAAAGACTAGTGATCTTATGGCTTGATATAGAATCTTAATCAGATTTCCACCAAAGTTACTCAGGGTAGTAGCTACAATTTCAGCTTCCTTCAGGACAGTCTTTTGGAATTTATGTTTGAGAGCTTCAATTTCTTCACTAGCTTTCTTCTCCTTAGCCTGAGCAACCGCAATATCTGTGTAGATTTTTCTTTTACTTCTCGTCATATAATGCCCTTGGCATTGCTCCTAAGTCTGTACCATATCCTTCCCATCCAACAGATTGCTTGCATTTGAATTTCCCTCTATTATATTAGCTTGCTTGGCTTCATACTAACTGGATACGAAGAACTGTCAGAAGAGTTCCCATCAGTATCATTCTTTTCATCCTTTGGCCAGAAGGGTATCAGCAAGTGTGTCGATAAAGAAGTGTAGAGAATTCCGATGAACTATCCTTTCATTACTAACTCTCACAAGATATGGCTCGAACATCATTCCATCACGGCCATAGAGTAGCTCATCAACTGCAGCATTAGATTGTGTACAACAAGAATCAGGCCTCCACGGTAACTTTCCATGGATTTGTTGTTTGTTTTCTCTGTCCATCCAAGGCGGCATCTTGCCTGGCTCTTGCAATTGCAGCAGACCGACTCATCCTTTGCGCAATACTAGAAACATTACTACTTTTTGAACCTTACTGGGTGATATTGTCTTTCATTTGGGAGAAAGCAAGCAAACCATTTGCAAAAGTAAATTATTTTTCATGTGTTCTCGTAATTTTTTCTTGCATTTTGATTGCACATCTTCAAAAAAATAAAATAAAATAATTACACACACACACACATTTTAAATAATAGCTTTTACACAAACACTATATAAAAATAGAAAAATTAAAATATAGAATAGGTTTACGACAATGATTCAAGTTAGTTAATTTAGTAAAACCCATTTTAACAAGAATATATATATTTTTTATATTTTGCATTTCCTTAATTAAGACCCTTAAAATTTATAAATAATGTTGTAATTTCGTACTTGGCTTCACATGTTTAACTTTATTGAGTTAAATTTTGTTTCCACGTAAGAATTAAATCCATGTTTGGTTTAGCAAACAATTATTATTTTGGAATATTTTGATAAAAATTAGTTAAATGTGAAATTTGAAGTCCAGAAAAGGTTAGGTTAAAAATGAATATAAGAAAAATTGACATTTAGAAATGGGGTCAAATAAGGGCTTGATTTAACAAAAATCTGATTGAGGGTGACTAACTTGCACGTTTTAAAGATTAACGACCAGCTTACTATTCGAACAAGTTTTTTCCCCCTTTCCAAAAGTTTTAAAGCATGACCTCTACTCATTTCAAAAATTATCAAAAAACTACATTTAGCGCCTTCTAATTTTTGAACTAAAGTGAATATGTGAGAGAGAGAGAGAGAGAGAGAGAGAGAGAGATTTTGTTTGGTACATCACACAACTTTAAAAGCATGTTTTGTTTAAACTACATAATACTAAATAATATTAAACCCCCGTTTGTTTTTAATTTTTTCCTCATTAAAATAAAAAATATGATCATTATCCATCACATCAAACCATCAAATTTAAATTTCTATCTCTTGTGTGAAACCCATAACGACTATATTTTTCATTATCATTCTTACAAAAATGGAAAATAAACACCCCCTAAAGAAAGAAAATATGCTAAAATTTTTATCATTGACTGCTGTGTGAGAAATTCACCTTCAAAAACCAACATAAAATACCAATGCAAATTCAGATGGATCGGGCACGACATGGGGGCACGTGGGGACCAGAAGTGAAGGGAAAAAGAAAAAAAGCAGAAACTGTTGATTATCATTAGGACATGGACAAATAAACGAACAATAACAATCCCTCAATCAAAACTTTTTCAGACGTTACTTCAACTACGATATGAATAGGAAACCAGCCTATCTAACATATGTTGTTTCTGTCAATACTATATGACAATGGCCATCACAAATCATCCCCATTTGCCGCAGCTCTGAGAACCATTTGCTCCGCCTCTAAATTTCCATTCTGCAAGAAGATAAGTATAAATAACCCCATGCAATAGGCACAAAGAGTTACAGATTCCTAAACGTACGTTGGCACATTAGAGCATGTTTGGCGGAGCTCATAAAAGTGAAATTACGTCCAAGTAGTTTTTTTTGTCACCAAACATATTTGGATAACTTAATTTTCTCGTCCAGTTTTCAAAGACAACTCCCACGACTTATTTTCATCTTTGACCAATACAAAAATATTAAAGAATATTTACACGAAACTTACTTATTTGCCTATAAGTAATTTAAGCTTAGCCAAACATAATATTTATGGCAAAGAGAACACTAATGGATAACGCACCTCGTCACTCCTATTGCGGGGAGTATTTGTTCCCACGGCTGCTGCCTTTGAGAGGTCCCTCAAAGTTCCCTAAAATAAGCAATTTTTGGACAAGACACGAGGCAAAAGAGGTCATTATTTCACAGTTCCAACCGAAATAGATTTTATAACTGGAGTGGTTAGCTTATTGACTTCAGAAACTTGGTTCAATTACGAGGTAGATAAACTTCAAGTGGTCAAGAGCAGCTCATCTATATTTGTATTGAGGAAAGACTTGATCCCATACATTGATGTGAGAACAGCATCACAAGAAATGAACAGGTTGAATAATTTAGCGGTCCCTAAACTTTTAGAGAAATTTTATGTCCGTCACAAAATTCATTCTATTTTAAAATTTAAATTGGTCACTTTACAAAGGCATTGCAATATTATTTGGTCACTCTGTACATATTTGACTAACAGTAGTGAAAAAGGTGAAGTGACAGTCTAGTTATTTGCAACTTGATTGTCACGTCAGCGTTTCTGTTAGTCTACTAACAGAAACGACTAACAGAAACAGGCAGAATGACAATTTTGTAATAAATGTTTCTAGTTAAGTGAGCCAATTGGAAAAAAACTCAAGCAATAACAAACTTGAAATTTTGCTGAAGGTCAGTCACCACTAGTGTTGTTAACCTGAAAAATGAAAAGCTCATTGCATAGGAAAAGGAAAAAATGGGATTCCTTGCTGAATCTGGATGTGGTTTATTGGAGGGACTGATTACTTAATTGTCCCCTGGCAACACAAATTGCTTTGTTAAACATTATCTACTTCAACCAAAAAATAAAAATAAAATCCCTCATTTATAGCACAAAAACTTGCAGAAGGCAAGAACAAGAATACAGGAGGATTATCTAAAACGAAGCCTAACATCTTCAATATGAAATAACCATAAAACACATGCTGTGTTTATAAATTTGCACAGAAGTTCCTTAAAATCATAGGCAGTAATGGACATAATTAAAGACTATTTCACGACAGCTTCCCAAACTCGATTAAATCCTTAGTGTGATGAAACTTCGCTAACATTTTATCTAAGTCGAACTTCAATTTTAACCCCACATTTCATCAACTTTTATCAAAATCTACTAAAACTTAAGTCACACAACCACTAAATATGAAAGAAATAAAATAAGATGAAAAAGAGACAAGTTCATAAAATATGGTGCATTTTAAAGCTGAATATCGAAAATATTCACCTTATTAGCCCACATAAGTCCACAGGCATTACAAAGGGTCCTCGGCCCATGTGGTCCACGTCGCATCATAGGAGTCGATTTCTCATTGATACCACAGTGCCGACAGCTGGCATGGATATTCAAAAAAAAAAATGTTTCATTGCTCCTATGTGATATGGTAATTGTGCTACTGAACTTTTTGAACAAAGAAAGAGTCACATATCATTTTCTCATTTAAAGCTAGATACACAGCAGGAAAGAAGAGCTTCTTGATGCCTGCTTATATATAATTAGAATCCTTGTTTCTACAGAAGATAAATAATAATGCCAGTAAGTCATGGGCCAGAAAGCTTAACAGAAATACAGAACTAGAACAATTAACATTTCCTGGCAGCACACAAGAAGCACCAAGCAACCAACAATTTGCATATCCACATTACGAGACCATTTCAAAATCCATTTGCCATAGTATCATATTTATAAAATTGCTTGTTCCTACTTCTTACTTTTTCAAAGCATTGTGTAGTCAAATAGTATCATAGTTCTGTGCTGAGCTTTTTAGCCTTATTAACATCACTAAAATTGAGGGTCATATAATAGCAACCTGCCAACTTACATTAGCATCATGATACAAATTACAAAGTATAACAACCTCAAGAGTCGAGAGTAACTTGAGCAAACACAAAGTGACAGAAAGAGAGGAGAAGGAAGGAGTGGAGATACCAAGAACAAGAATACTATATAATTAACAGTTGGTAAATGGCAACAGTCAGTAAAAGAGATCCAACTAAGAAAGTCGATGAAGATAAGCACATGACGCGAACTCACGAAATCTCTTGAATTTGGGATGAAGTGCCATCTGCTCCCCAGTTTTGGTTTGACTCCCAACTCGAAACTGCTGATGCAGAATCATCCTGACTGGGCTTTGAGGATGTAAACTGTCCTTTATTTCGCTGCATCCTACGATAGTAGGAAAAAGAATAGAGTGAAGAACAAAGAAAACATGTAAGAGAAATAGACAAGTCCATGGTGAATTCAAACATAATGTGGAATGCGCAAAAAATATAAAAATAAAATTCTACATGCCTTAGAGCAACCTCCTTACGAACAGTATAACGGATTTTCTTTTCAAAATTTCGTTCTTTCCGCTTCTCACGGAATCTAATCAGTGAAGCCAATCTCTGAGGGACATTGAACTTCTGTGGGGTACTGGATAAACCCTGTTTTAAATGATCATTAGATGGTTCTATACAAGACAAAATACGAAATATAACGTGTTAATTCAAATTATTCATACTCCACTATTATGCGTGGATACTGAAACCGTAGGAATGTTAGGAGGTACTTCACGTCCCCCGAGTAAAAGAAGCACAGCTTGAACCTGAAGGGCATAATTAAAACAACCTCAATTTATCATCTCGACAAGATTAAGATAAGGACAAAAAAAAAAAAAAACTCCCAGTGAAGACAAGAATTTCTTTTAAAATCAACATACACCATCAGCATATAACACAGAAATATGCAGAATAATTGGCACTTTGCACGTACTTTGAGCTATGTATAGTCATTACAGTATAACTACATGCGTGAAAGATACCACTGATTTAGTTTACATGCTCGAAGTACAAAGAACAAATCCCTCCTGATTTTATGCTCAATAGCAACATCATTTTTATCCAAATAACAACCAAGCGCCTATTCATTCTTCTGTTTCACCTACAACTATTTCATTTTTTGCACATCCTATACAATTGTATTTAGTAGTCAATGCATTGGGCAGCCCTCTGAGCATGCTATACTGAGTAAAAGCTTATAATTGTAGTACAACCATCCTGCTAGGAAAAAGCATGCCATCAAACAACCAAGTAAGCTCACAATCTTTAGTCATTATTAGCAAATAACATGATTCAAACCTATAAATTTACCTCGGTTTATCAGATACTGATCATTTAAATTAAATGAAATGAAGTATTAAAATTCTCTTCGCATAAGGAAGGTACCTTTTCAGGAGATACAGAGTCGAAAACATAAACCTGGCCCTGAAAAGAGAGTGTTAGCTGGTTATTATCCTCAGTGCCCCCTCCTTGAGACACCAATGCACCATGGTTATCAGATAAATTCCCAGGATCAGCAGAGACCTCCCCGTCCATACCTTCACTTTCTCCACCACCACTATCGTGGCCATGCTCATCATGGTCCAGCACATTCCCATTGCTCATATGATGATGCAGACCAGGATGATGATGGTGTTGGTGATCTTGCTCTTGCATATAATGGCCGATCATTCGTGCTTGGCTCGCATGCATACCATCCATCTTCACTTCAAATTAGTACAGTAAAGAACAACGTCTATAAACCTATAGCATTCAACTCACACAATATTGACGACGAGAGAGAGAGAGAGAACGCGTCACATATTGTACTAATACACTTAACCTTCTTAAAACCATTGTTTAGTTAGCCATTTCCATATTATTATCGAACATTAATTAACACCAATTTCAGAAAACCTAAAAAAAGGCACATTCGCAAAGGGATAAGAATGCAGCAATATTCAAATTTATGGTTCATTAATCAACACTCATGAAACCAAAAATTAATAGAACCAAAGCTAAACTTACGAAAAAATATAAAATTGAATTATGAGCCGAGTAATTTAGCAAAAACGACAAAGAAAAGATACCATCAAATTTGGAAGTTAAAAATATAACCTAGAATTTGAAGAGTCCGCTGGTCGGAGAATTGAGGACTGGCGGAAAAATGGAGGAGATCGAGGGATTGGGGACCAATGGACGGTGGAGATTGGGCGGAGAATGGGGAAGATGAAGATGGGTGAGACGCTATTACAGCGGGCGTTTTTCTATTGATAGTTGTTACGTCCAGTCAAATTTATTTCCGCAAACAAAGGTAATTTGCACATATACCCTTCTGTAAAATATTTTCGGCTGGGACCTTTTAAAACTTCTGAAGATTTAAAAATTTAGCTGTATTCAATTGAAATTTTAACGCGAGAAATATTTAAGTTCATCAATTCAAAAATCAGGTGTGAGGTTATAAAAACTCAACCATTAAATAATAATAATAATAATATAAAATTAAATAAATTTACCTACCCTAACCCCATTCAATCAACACTCTCAAACCCTAAGGGTTCGTTTGACAGTACCCAATTTTATGAAAAATGTCACATCCAAGAAATTCTTTTTTTACTTTGACTGTTTGATGCGAAAGTAAAATTTGAGTTCGAATTTCAAAGTACAAACACTTAAAGCATGTTTTTTGCCAATTCTAAAAATCGAATTCTTATTATATTGATGGGTTTTTTTCTAACTTACATGGAATTGGTTTGTATTTTCCACCTTTGCATTCAAAAGAACCCTAACATCATTTCCTTCTCTTCGCCTCCCTCTCTATCCTGTCTCTCTCTTTTCCTCCCTCTGACGACTCTCTTCCCCTACAACTTATCTTTCGTGCTGCTCACAGAGTTTCAACATAACATCAGGTGCTACGACTTTTCTTCTTCGACAAATTATCTCTAGCTTCGCACAGGGGTTCAGAGTAGCAGCGTGTAGCACCAATGCGATGATGGTTGTGACAGTGGTGGTTGTACAGTGATGTTCATGATCTGTGGTGGTGATGGTACAGTTATATAAATAAATAAATAAATAAAAAGTTGAACCTCAACCTTGAGAGCCCCTACCGCCCCGCCCCTAGAGCTTCACAGGATATGCCCCAACAGGTTAGGGAACAAGAGCTGCATATACACTGCGCCTACAAGGAGTCCAATTTCATGTCTCAGGAATCGAACCCTCACACTGCAGCTGCTAGCAAGGCGTAAGATAATCTCACTCCTGTTCTTTGCACCCCTGGGCCATGCCCCCCGGGGCATGTTATAGTTGATATTAGTGGTAATTGTGGTGGTGCGGCGATGGGAAGAAGAGAGCATGTGACCAACTATTTAAGTGTTTGTGACACTTTTTGATTGATTTGTAATAAAGTATTGTTGGTGGATCGAGATCGGATGTGGGAGTGAGGTGCTTGGTGTATATGATCAACTATTTGGTTATTTGTGACGAATCGTTTAATTGTGACCTAAAAATTATATAATTTGCGATTGAAAAAATAATTTGTAACCAACTAATTTGAAAATCCTTGACCGACGAATAAATTATGACATGTAAATTTTTTAATTTGTGACCGTGAAATAATCCGTGATCAATTAATTTGATAATATGTAACCTACAAATATGTAGCTGTGATCATCGATTGTATAATTGTGACCTTAAGATATTTAATTAATAAAATATTTTTGATTATTTATTTATCGCATGAGTTTTGAGTGGTTTTCAATTGAAACTTTTTAGAAGTCTTCATAAGTACTTCTGAAAGCTTTTTGGTGGAAATATAAATAGCAAAATCTCAAAGAAAATCTCTTATATGCTATGAGACTTGTGAAGATTTTCGAGCCCAAAAAAAGAACGTTTCTTTCTTTCAATTCTATTATTTTCTCACATCTTTTCAATTCATTTGTTGTAATCAATTTATGATTATTCTATATGTGCATAATTATTTTTAAGTTGAAATTATATGCACTTGTTTCAAAATATAGAATTCCATGTAATCGATTTATTCTCTTATCTTTTTCTTTCCTTTTATGGTTAATAACAATTCGCATTCTTAGAAATTATGTTAATTTTGTGAAAAGAATTTTGGTTCTTAGAAATTGATGTAACAGTTTTTTATTATTTTATTTGTGCCAAAATTGAATGACTAAGTTTCACAAGGTGCCTTTCTTCTTGACACAAAAAGGGACATCCTGAGGTAGTAGTCTGCTCCGCTAGACTACCTTTTGCCTTTTCTCGGTTGTGTCGGAACGAAAGAAAATTTGATTACAATTTTGCAGAAAGTTTACAATAGAAAATTTGAATACATTGAAAATAAATTGAACATTGATTGATGAAAACTGAACATTACAATTGATGAAAATAGAAAACTACAATTGCTAGTGCAGGGGGCGGACATCAGTGAGTTTGAAAGATTTTTGAATGACTAATACCCCCTATAATAACATTCTAAACAAAAACCTAAGTGACAGGAGTAGACGTTTAAAAGACGATGAATCATACTAAACGTTTACCAATATCAGAGCTATTTTACAACTGAAATAACTATTACAATGAAAATAAAATTACAACTCAAATTTGAAGTAATATTTACAATGTGCGGTCAAAGTTGGGCAAATTGCGGCTGCGATAGTATCAAGGGGCTAAGTAAAGCTACAGTCCTTGACATTCTCCCCCATTTGTTTTGGCGACGTCCTCGCTGCCATCAATGCATGATATGCTTCAATTAATGGTTTGAAGGCTCCAAGATCTTTTTCTCTTTCCCAAGTATTCTCCTCGCTGCTGCATCCCATCCATTTGACCAAATACTCTTGATGATCTTTTCTAGAAGCTCGAGTGATTCGATGGTCAAGAATAGTTTCAACAACCTTCTTTCCAGCTTTCTTCAGTTCAAACACAGGTCGCTTTGACTCATTTCTAGATGCATCCTCCTTATCCGCAAAGTATGGCTTCAACTCACTAACATGAAGGACCTTGTGGATTTTACACCATGAAGGGAGTTCAGCTCTATATGCAACTCTTTCAATCCTCTTCACGATGGGTAATGATCCAATGTATTTTGGCGACAATCTTGAGTCCTTCCCTCTTGTTGGTTTGTAAACATTTCTGTCGGGAAGCTTAACCATTACCAAATCTCCAACATTGAATTCAATGAAACGGTACTTTAGATCTGCAGCCTTTTTATACCGTTTTTGAACTTTCTCAAGATAACTCCGAGCAATTTCAATATTTCGTTTCCACTCTTGAGAAAGGTTCTTTGCTTGAGGGGACTGGGTACTTCGTTCGATATCCACTGTATGAGGGAGTAGCAGTTGCTGGCCAGTAACTATCTCAAAAGGACTCTTATTGGTAGAAAAGTTCTTTTGGGCATTGAAGCAAATTTGGGCCGCATCCAAAAGTTTTACCCAGTTTTTCTGCAAAATAGAGATAAAGAGCATAGAATTGAAGCACTCCGCCTGTCCGTCAGATTGTGGGTGAAAACTAGAACTCATGCTCAAAGTTAAACCAAGAACTTTGAACAACTCAGTCCAAAATATGCCAGTAAAACGAGGATCTCGATCGCTGACGATGTCCTTAGGCAGTCCCCAGTATTTGACAATATGTTTGAAGAAGAGTTTAGCTGTCTCTTCTGCAGATACATACTTAGGCGCTGCAATGAAAGTTGCATATTTTGATAGACGGTCCACCACAATAATGATAGTGCCAAAATCCTCAACTTTTGGCAACCTAATAATGTAGTCCATCGATACACTTTTGAATGGCCGGGTTGGGACGGAAAGGGGCTCCAACAAGCCCACCTTTTTCTGATGATCTGCCTTATCTTGCTGACAAATAAGACGGGTTTTTACATATGTTGCAATGTCGTCCCGCATTTGAGGCCAGTAGTATGCACGTTGCAGTAGTGTACAAGTGCGTTCTTTTCCGGGATGCCCTGCCCAAATTGTGTCATAGCATTCTGTAATTATTGATTTCCTTAGATCTCCGCCCTTAGGAACATATAGGCGGTCTCCCTTTGTCTTCACTAGTTCTCCATCGAGTCAGAACTGTCGAGTTTTCCCTGCTTGATGAGGTCAACCAAATATTGGGTAGTCGGGTTCTTCTCCATAAGTGCTCGAATTTGGTCTCTAGTGTTTGTGGAGACTGCGCTCCCTGAAAGAACTGCTACGGAGCAGATGGCAGCTAAATCAGCCCGTCAACTAAGAGCATCAGCAACATGATTACTAGAGCCGGGACGATACTCTAACATAAAATTGAACTCTGAAAGAAATTCCTGCCAACGAGCTTGTTTGCTCGATAGTTTTGGTTGGGACATGAAGTGACTAACTGTAGTGTTATCTTTCTTTACAATAAATGGAGACCCAAGCAAATAGTGACGCCATCCTCTGAGACAATGGACTACTGCCAACAATTCTTTTTCATGTGCCGAGTAACGACGTTCTGTCTAGTTTAACTTCCGGCTCTCATATGCTACCGAATGTCCTTCTTGCATGAGGACTCCACCAAGTGCAAAATCTGAAGCATCTGTATGAACTTCAAATGGTTTAGCCATATCCGGTAAGGGTAAAATTGGGTTCGTCCACATGGACTACTTCAACCTCTCAAAAGCAGCTTGGTATTGGGATGACCAATCCTTATCTTTCTTTGTCAATTCAGTAAGTGACAGTGCAATTTCTGAGTAGCCTTTCACAAATCTTCGATAGTAATTGCATAACCTAAAAAATGAATGTATATCATGTACGATTTTTGGTGATTGCCAATCTTTGATGGCTGTAACCTTCTTCGAATTCATGCGAATTTTACCTTGTTCAATGATGTGACCCAAGAAACTGATAGATGTCTGAGCAAATGAGCATTTAGACGGCTTAGCATAAAGTTCATTCTCCTGTAGCCGATTAAAAACTTGCCTCACATGTTGGACATGTTCCTCCAATGTCTCGCTGTAGATTACTATGTCATCCAAGTACACCACGACAAAATTATCTAAGAACCCGTGAAGTACCTGATTCATCATAGTACAAAATGTTGATGGAGCGTTTGTTAAACCAAAAGGCATCACTTTAAATTCAAAAGCTCCATATCTGGTTACCACCATAGTCTTTGCTTCGTCTCCCTCCTTGATCCGAACTTGACAGTATTCGGACCTAAGATCAATTTTTGTGTAATATTTCGCCCGACTCAGTCGATCGAAGGAATCCACAACCAATGGGATAGGATAGTTATTCTTTACAGTAATCTTGTTTAAGGCTCGATAGTCGCAGCAC